AATAAAGGAAGTATGTGTGGTGAAAAATATTTTAATGATATATAGATGTATATATATCATGCACAGTATTTATGGGTGATGCACAGGTATAAGCTGGCAGTGCAGAGAGGAGACACTGGTCTGAAGAAAGAGCTTTTAACATCTTATGGGGCATTCACCCCTGTGCTCAAGCAATCATTGTCAAGACCAGCCTGACCAACATGGTGAAACCCTGTCTCTACTGAAAATACAAAAAGAAACCAGGCATGGTGGAGCACCTGTAATCCCAGCTACTTGGGTGGCTGAGACAGGAGAATCGCTTGAACCAGGAGACAGAGGTTGCAGCGAGCCGAGATAAAGCCACTGCACTACAACCTGGGCAACAGAGTGAGACTCCATCTCAAAAAAATAAAAAATAAATGAATGCTAATAATTTGAATGTTTTATGTGGGGTGCTTGAGTAATTTGAGCTCCTAACCAAGCATAGGTGGTTTTTTGGGTTTTGTGTTTTTTTTTGTTTGTTTGTTTTGGGTAGATCTGTAGCATATTGGAGTATAGGAAGTAGTGTGTTATTCTTTCAACCTTGCTATTCAGGGTGAATTATAAAATATATTTTTTGTGAGATTTCAAAGATTATTTTGATAACATTGCTTACAGATTTCAAAGACGTGGTTATCACGAGAATGTGATAGTAAGGGGGAAATTACTGCATAAAATAACTAACAGAATAAATATTTTGCATCAGAAAAAAAGAATTCCCTGGGAATATTTCAAATGGCCTTTCTTTCTCTACCCACTGTGACAGTCTTGAGGATCTCTCTCTTACCACCTCACAATGATAACTGGGTGGGTTCCTAGGCGTAAAAACACACAAGTGTGGAAGCCTCCATAAATGGCACCTACCGAGTTTCTTATGCTCATGCTAATTGACACTCAGCCTCATCATAAAGCTTCAGCAGTTCAGAAGAATTAACTTATAAATGCTGCTACCAATTTATGGCTTCAGAAATTTCTGCTCCAAATAAGCAGACTTTAGTTGTGACCTCTGCATTTGCCTTCCTCCAGATTTCAGGATGGTGATTTGCTCTATGACGCTCAGTTCTCTAATGGGTCCAAGAAAATTCATTGATTTCAGTTTGTTCGGCTTTTGTTCTCTCGTTGAAAGATAGTATGTAACATTCGAGTGGAGTAGCTATTGTCGCCAACACAGTTTTTAATGTGTTTTGTTTACAACTTGTTTATTAATACTTTATATTGACAGTGACATTATGCTGGTTACTGTTCCTGGTGACAGACCTTTTTTTGAATTTTATATATGATTTAAATTTGCCTTCATATTGGAAATATTTAAGAAATTTAATACTTATATTCACTTTGTCAAACCAAGATCCCAAAGGTTAAAAAGGATCATTGACTAACTTAGTATCTGGAGACTCAATAAAGTGATTTCAGTTGATTGTAAACATTAAATAAATTGTTATAATATCTGATGAGTCCAGCTTCCTAATGTATCATTTCCTTAGGTTATCTTTGCACATTTAGAACGTCATAAAAAATGAAAATTATTTGAAAATTTGCCTATAGATTAGAAGAAATTTTAAAATTTAACCACATGCATACAATATTTTCTGAGATGGGAAACTGATAGATCAAAATGTATGCTAGTTGACACTGTTAGCCACTCTCCTTAAGGTGGGTTTCAGTTTGCCATGCCAGTATATCCCTGTTTACTTTCTGGATAATAGACAGTAGGCTTTTCTGCTTCCATCTGAAAATTGGATGTTGGGGACCATTCAATGATTTGGTTTTGGCCAAAATGCCCTTATGGGATTGTCAGATAATATTATAATTCTTTGGCACCATGCATCAAAAGTAGTCCAGCAACAGGAAATGAAGTGTTAACTGAGTACAGCGGCCAGTTTGTCCTTCATGTGTGGGTAATGTCACATACCTTTTTTAAAAGACTTCATCTGAGGCCACCAGAAGCCACTTTAAGTGGGCCAGAGGTGATTTTCATATTATAGTTTTTATTTCTCGTTGAAATATTGCATGTAACATTCGAGTTGATTGGCTGTTTTCATAAATACAGGTTTTTAAAAATGCGTTTTGTTTACATCATGTTCATTAATACTTTCTGGTGACAATTCCATTGTGCTTATTATAGTATTTTTCTTACTCTGGAACCAAAGACTGGCATAGTATAATATTCTCTTTGAACTTGTTCAAAGAAACGGTCTCTGAGTGTTATGGGTTAGGGACCTTGATGAGAACTGCTTGCTGGTATAATGATCAATTGGCGTTTTCTTTTCTTTTCTTTTTTTTGAGACGGAGTTTCGGTCTTGTTACCCAGGCTGGAGTGCAATGGCGTGATCTTGGCTCACCACAACCTCCGCCTCCTGGGTTCAGGCAATTCTCCTGCCTCAGCCTCCCAAGTAGCTGGGATTACAGGCACGCGCCACCATGCCCAGCTAATTTTTTGTATTTTTAGTAGAGACGGGGTTTCACCATGTTGACCAGGATGGTCTCGATCTCTCGACCTTGTGATCCACCCGTCTTGGCCTCCCAAAGTGCTGGGATTACAGGCGTGAGCCACCGCGCCCGGCTTTGACGGTATCTCTTTTTGAATTGGTATCCACCTTGATAATAGTCAACTTTTTGGAACCATTAGAGTTATTTAAATAACTTTAATCTGCTAACTATTCTAAATTAGGGTTTTTATTTACATTAAGCACCTTTATTTGCTCTGAAGCTTTCCAAAATCATGAAGTACTCCAAAACATTTCTACTTTAGTGTATATAAACCTTCTTCCCTTTATTCATCCAGCAAACTATGAGATTAGAAACAATTCTGTTACCTAGGCATATTTTTATCTCTGGAAAAGGGTCAAAATGGTGAGTTAAAATCTGTTCCAGTGTATCCTACCTGATGTTTTCTGGTTTCATTCTTAGGCTAATGACTTGAGATTAAATCTGGATTTCTGGGCATGCTTTAATAAATGTATTAGGGTGTGTTAATAAATCTACTAGATATTTAGGAAGCAGTGGTCAGCGGGTCTTGAGCTTCCCTCTCCTAATGAAACAAGAGTAATAGGATTTAAAGTATTACAGTGATAAATGGAAATATGGAAAGAAGGAAGTAATACAATTTTAGAAATTAAGCCTACTTTGTTAGGAAATGTTGCGTATTTTTAATGGGCAGCAAACACTGGCAAAATAAGGGACCATTAAGTTTAAGGTAGAAAATAAAATCATGTTAGTAGAAGCCTCGAGCAAGTTTCAACTCCTGTTTTCAGCTGTAGAAAATAGGATTTTGACTTGGGTCAGTAGAAAAACAGTTGCATGATATTGATTTGAGATGATTCCATAAGGTTGAGTTTGAAGAGATATTTGACTTGTTCAGAACTTTTACGTATGAATAGGTAAAATGATTCATGATGAAGCAGGCCCACAATGAGATGTTGTTGAAGGGCTAATTTTCAAAGCATTAAATTCTTATATAGGCATAAATTCCCTGGTTAGAGATCTGGTTAACAAAGATTTGGTCAGGTGATACAGTAATGTGTCAATTTCTGAAAATCAACGTGGCTGGCAGAATAAGACTCCTAAAATGCCCAGATGTTCATGTATAATCCTTTCCCCTTGGATGTCAGTAGGATCTTTGAATATGATAAATGTCACTTGAGTGATTGGATTATGTAACACAGCAAGGGTGAAGTGGTTTTGGAGCTATAACTGAGATCTCTAATTAGTTGATTTTGATTCAAAAGGGACATTATTCCGGTGGGCACTGACTCAATCAGGTGAAAGAGATAAAAGCAAAAGAATCTCTAGCTAGCCTTAAAGAGAAACAGCTCTATTGAAAGCTGCCAGTAAAGAGGGCAGCCTCTAAAAGGAGAGGACCTCAATGCTCTCTACAACTACAAGTAACTAAATTCTACCAACAACAAATTAATGAGCTTGGAAGACGACTTAAGCTCCAGAAGAGAACGGCAACATGGCTAATACCTTGATTTCAGCTTGTGAGACCCAGAACAGAGAGAGTACCTGGTTACCCAATCTCCTAATCCACAGAAACTGTGGTGTGATAAATGTGTGTTGCTTTATGCACCTAAATCTGTGCTAATTTCATACCTAGAATAGAAAATGAATACATTTGGAAACCCATTGTTGGCTATAGTGAGTGAGACCCAAAGATTCATCTCTAAAATCTCTTGGTGATGAGGAAAATTCTGAATGGTTATGATCTTTCAGAAGTGAGAAATATACCTCCTTGGGATACATTATGCAGCAGATGATACACTTTACTTTGAGAAAAATTTTAGTTCCCATCAGAAAGTTTAAAGACTATTAGAGATAGAGCAATTAATTAGATAGATCGAGTCAGTCTTAGAGCTCAGCTAAACTTCAGAATACAGCAAAGTATGGTAGAATATAGGGAAACATAAGTTTCCTTGAGGCCTTGGTTGAGGACTTTTCAAAGTTAAGACAACTTCTCAATAAGCCCTAAGTCATAACTACCAGTGTACATTATCGATTTTCTCAGGAGAAAGCAAACAGATGACTCTGAATTAAACAGATGCTAAAGGAACATAAAAAAGATTTATAGCTATAAAATATGCAACTTCATTATGCACCAAAGATAAAAGAATATTTGAATTTGTTACTACAGAGAAGTGGGAGATAATTATTAAATTTATACCCGAGAGATTCCGAACAAATTTATATCACTGCCCTGTGGGTTTTTCTTTTAACTTAGTGAAGTATTACAAGTAATAGTACGAAGTTTCATGATTCATTTTTCAATTAGGTTTTCATCTATTGATTTTAGTGCTTTGTTAGGCTTTGGTTTTGGAGAGTATGGTGCAAGTTTGGGCAGATATTTGGAGGGGTTACTCTGAAACTGACAGGTTCAGCTTAAATAGTATTATGAAATTAGTTTTATCTATGCCCAGAAGTATGACTACTTTGACCTTCAATGTGTGTAAAGAGTACAGGTAAGGCAAGGTTTAAATAGCTATGACCTGCGTGTGATCGACTGTGGTCGAAGGCGTCCTCAGGATATGTGCAGGAACAGGCCATCAGGAGAGCTTTTATTTCACAGGAGATCCTCACACCACCCTATTTGGTTAGTGGATGTGATGTCACAAAGGAGGAGAGAATGTTTCTCAATTAAGAGTCTGAGGGTGACAGTTATAGGCTGGGGCATACTAAGTGTTTGAGGGTAATTAGAGGTATCCAACACCTGATAGTTAGTGCCAGGGAGAAGTTGGGTAACAATGTCAAGATATATGACAGATATCACAGGGCGTATCAATCAAAATGTTAAGATTTTTATCTTTAATATTTAGAGAAATTTGCCTTATGCAATGAAGGGCATTGTGAGCTTTATTCCCCGTTGCAGAAACTTCATCAATTACCCCTGTTTGTATTTGTTCCCTTTTGTTTCCTAGCTGAGTGAAATTGTTTTTTCCTATACTCTTTCAGTTTAAAGTGCATAAAACTGTCTTTTTCAAGAGTACTCTAGGGTTTAACAAAGATAGCGTTTTTACATGAATCCCAAAATAAGCAGCATCTTGAGAAATTCTCTCCATTAGACCACTGCTGCAGCTGTTTCTGTTGTTGTTGTTGCTGTTGTTGTTTCTTTTTTATGTTTTACTGATTTAATCTTTGAGGAAGAGTTGCGAAGATTTAGAATTTTCATGTATGTTTCATCTAGTTTCCCCTAATGTTAGTATCTTGAATAACTATGATACATTTATTAAAAGTAAAAAATTACCATTGGTATAATGCTATTAACTAAATTACAGACTCCATTAGGATTTCTCTGTATTTTCCACCGATTTTTTTTTTTCCAGAATCCAGTTCAGGTTACCACATGACTAATTCATCTTACCTCCTTAGTTTCTCCAGTTTGTGACAGTTTCTCAGTTTTTCCTTGTTGTTCATTACCAAGATGCTTTTGAAGGTATTTTGTAGAATGGCCCTCAATATGGGTTTCTGTGGTTTCTCATGATGCAACTGAGGTAGAATATCACTTAAAGCTTTTTTCTCATATGTCAAGGAAACTTGATGCCAACATGATTTATTATTGGAGATTACTTTGACCCCATGGCTAAGTTAGCAACCGATAGATTTCTCCACTGGAAAACTGCCCTTTGTTTCTTTCCCTGCTCTATTCATTAGAAGCTTCTTGATACGTCTAGCTACCCTCAACCTCCACTACGGAGAGAGGAGTATCAAAGAATTTACAGGCATATGTTTAAACTACCATAGTACTTAATAAATATTTTGGGGAGATATTTTCAGGCTCTGAAGATACCCTGTTGACTTTTTATTTCTGCCATTTTTCTACATTCACCATTTGTAAAGAAGCTTTTTCCCTTCTTCATTAATTAATTTATTTGATATTTACATCAGCATGGGCACATGTATACTTATTTTATCTAATGGGTAATAATTCAGTATCATCATTGTTTATTTTGTTACTCAAGTTGTCCTAGGGTTGTCTCTGGAGATTTCTGAGGTTTCAGGTGAACTCTTGGATCACTTTGGCATGCCCTATCTATTTATCTATATATATTTATTTATTCATCAGCCCTTTCTTGCTTTCTAGCACGACAAGATGCTCCAGAAGCATTTGCATTTTTCCTATCCCAGCCCTAGAAGCAGTCATTTCTCCAAGGAGCTTTGATTGCAGAATCATGTTTAGAATTCATGATATAAGCAACAGTGGTGGTCATTGCTACAGTACTATCACTGCCTGCTTACTTTTCCTGGACAGAGAGAGAAAGTTACATGTATGTATGCACACATGTCTATATGTATTTATTTACATAATAAGCAAGAACTCAATCTCTCATTTCCAACTCTAATTCATCACCACAGGGCTCATCATTCTAGCCTCTCCCACTTGCTCGTTTGTAATTTCCTTTTTTGATGTAAAGAATATGGTCCCCACTCCATCGTGTAATGAACTATCTACATTTTATTTACTTACTTGTACAACTGTGGTAGTTGTAGTTTCCGAATGGCTAAGTTTACACTGTGAGATCAAAATTACCAACCAAAATAAAATGCTTATGTAACGTTCTTTCTGTCTTTAATTTTATGGTCTAGTCAAAACATTGTTCCCAAAGTTATTGTGAGCTCTTTCTTGTTTCTCTCACACACTTCAGTGAGATTAAATCCTATACTTAGATTTATTTGGCACAGTTTTCATTTCATCCTTGAATTTCCAAAAGCTTGGTTTTTATTTTATTATGAGCACACTTAATTCACTCTTTATTTTGTATGATTTCTGAAATTTTGGAAAATGCATAGTGCCATTTGTACATCACTGGGGAACCACAGAAAACAATTGCATCACTCTAAATTTCCATTGTGTGCTCTCCAGTGGTCATAACTAAATGTCCCAGTAAACCACTGATTTTTTTTTTCATTTAGCAAAATGTCATATAAATGAAATTATATGATATATAGCCCTTTCGGTTTTGCTGCTTTCATTTGGCAAAATGAAATATAGATTTCATATTGTTGTATATGAATCAACAGTTTCTTTTCACTGCTGAGTAGTATTTCTTTGTATAGATATGTAGCAGCATGTTAACCTATTCATATGTTAAAAAGAATCCTGGTTATTTCTGATTTTTGGTAATTATAAAGCTTTTATAAAATTTACATACAAGTTTCAGGTTTGTATGCACAGACTTTTACAAATTCATCTAGGGTAAAAACTAAACATATTATTTTTGGTTCACATGGTGAATATATGTTTAACTTCATAAGAAACTCTCACTTTCCAAAGTGGCTGTACATTCCGTCTTGTTGTCCCACCGGCAATGAAGGAGAGTTTCTGTTTCCTGTATCCTCACCAGCATTTGGTATTATCAATTTTTGTTTGTTTGCTTTGTTTTTGCTATTCTGTTATGTGTGTTGAGGTAACTCAATATGGTTTTGATTGTCATCTGTTTATGTTCTTTTCTTTAAGATTAACCTTTCCCATCTTAATTAGGTAGTTTGCTAATGATTTTTAAATGTTCTCTACATTTCTGGATACAAGTTCTTTATCTCAAATGTAATCTGCCAATATTTTCTACCAATCTGTTGTTTGTATTTTCATTTTTATTAGCATATATTTTGAAGAGCAAAATGTTTTAATTTTGATAAACTCTATTAAACATAAATAGAAAAACTATATTTATAAAACATATGGCTCATGCTTTTGCACTGTATCTAAGAATTCATTAGTAAGGTCATGCAATCCTCCTTCTATTAGAATTTTATAGCTTATGTTTCTGTTTAGGTCTATAACCAATTTTGAGTTAATTTTTATATTAGGCATGAAGTGTCTGCCAAGGTCCATTTATTTATTTTGCATATGGATGTTCAATTGCTTTAGCACCATTTGCTAAAAAGACTGTCTTTTCTATTTCTATCTTTGTAAAAAATCATTTGGCTAATTTTGTTGGTCTATTTCTAAGGTATTTATTCTGCTCCATTGATTTATGACTCAGTCCTTTCATTAATATTTTAGTCTTGAATGCTGTAGCTTTACAATAGCACTACACTGTGGTGGTGTCAGATCTCCCTCCAACATTTTTTTCTTTATAAAAATGGTTTGGTTACTCTGGTTCTTTTGCCTTTCCATATACGTTTTGAATCTGCATGTTAATATTTACAGAAGTTAGTTGGGATTTTTGTTAGTATAAAAATCAATTTGGTAAGAATTGGCCTCTCAAATATTAAGTGTTTCAAACGCATAATGAACCCTGCGTAGCTCTCCATTTATTTAGATTGTCTTTGACTTTTTCCATCAGGTTTATTTCATTTTCAGCATACAGATTCTGCACACATTCTATTATATTTAATTACACCAAAGCATTTCATTTTAAGTGCTATTATAAATCATATAACCCCCATCCCATCTACCTTAAGATTCTCTCTCTTTCTCTCCTCTGTGTGTGTGTCTTTGATTGCCTGTTTGCTTTACTTTCAACAGTTTGAATTGATATATGTAGATGTGTTTTCTTGGAATTTGCCCTGCTTGTTGTTCTTTCAGCTTTTTGAATCTGTGGCTTGGTGTCTGTCACTAATTTTAGAAAATTCTTAGGCACATTTTAAAAAATATTTCTTCTGCTCATTATTTCTTCTCCCTTTGATATTCTAATTGCACATGTGTTAGACCAGATGATATTGTCTCATAGCTTTTTGTTGCTCTATTCTCTTTTTTCCCACTCTTTTCTCTTTGTATTTCATTTGTGGCAACCTCTGTTAACCAATCTACAAGTCCTCTGATTATTTTCCTCAGGCTGGGTTGATTTTACAGTAATACCTCATACCTCATTTTATTAGGCTTTGCCTTCTTAGACACTACCGATGTTTCATTTTTTACAAATAGAAGATTTGTGATAACCGTCTATTCAGAAAGTCTATCAACATCCTTTTTCCAAGAGTATATGCTCAGTCCACATTTCTGTGTCACATTTTGATAATTCTTGCAATATTTCAAACTTTTTCATTATTACTATATCTGTTATAGCAATCTGCGATCTTTCATGTTACTGTTGTAATTGTTTTGGGGCACTACAAACTGAGCCCATATTAGATGGTAAAGTTAATTGATTAATGTGTGTTCTAACTACTCAACCAACCAGCCATTCCTCTGTCCCTCTTTCTCTCTCCAGGCTTCCCTATTCCCTGAGACACATTATTGAAATGAGGCCAATTACTAACCCTAAAATCTTCTCTGAGTGTGAAGGTAAAAGGAAGATTCACATGTCTCTCACTTTAAATCAAAAGCTAGAAATGATTAAGCTAAGTATGAAAGGCATGCCAAAAGCCAAGATAAACCAAAAGCTAGGACTTTTGCACCAAACACAGAGCCAACTTGTGAATTCACAGGAAAAGTTCTTGAAAAAAATTAAAAGTGCTGCTACAAAGAACACATGAATAATAAGAAAACCAGAAGCCTTATTGCAGTCATGGAGAATATTTTTATTATCTGGATAGATCAAAGCAGCCACAACATTCCCTTAAGCCAAATCCAAATCTAGAAGAAGGCCCTAACTCTTTTCAATTCTGTGAAGGCTGAGAAAGGTGAGGAAAATGGAGAAAACCAGTTTGAAGCTAGCAAAGGTTTATTCATCA